AGCTTTTTTTTTTTCTGTATAACTCTCAGCAGATGGTGGTGCCTTGCCACAGCATACTATTAATAACAGCGGTGTTAATACTTAAATCAGGAAGTTTATTTTTTCGTGTATGTGTGTGTGTTCAGTTTGCTTTTTCACTGTATTCGTGAAAACAACAGAGAAAGTAGCACAATGTTAACACATTTTTGACATTAAAAGGAATAGGGATAAGGAACAGTTTTTTTCTTAGGTGGATGTGTGAAATAGACTATTTTGTATCATGGTCTTTTGTTTGGGAAAATGTATGAAATGATCAGTAGCTAATATAATGGTTTATTTGATCATTTTGAAAATACAAGAATGAGTACTTCAAAATTATATGTGTGCCACATTTACAATGACAATAATGTTTTGACATTTTATACATTATTATCTTGAAAAGGGAAGTGAGCCACTAAGTACGGAATGTTAAAGAAATTCTGATACCTATTACAGAAAATTCTGGATAAAGAAGTCCCAAAATAGGTACAGTAGCTAAAATTTTGATCTCATTATTTGGGAAAAGGTAGTTCTTCTATATAGCTTATAATTTATATGCTGTATTTTTAACTGTCTAGGAAACATCCTATCTCCAAAATACGATATGAAAATTAATATTTCTCTTAAATATATGCTTACTATATTCCTTGAGAATGTAGAAGTCCTTGTACATGCAAAATTACAGACTTTTCTGCTTCCACACTCATATTAGAATACCTGACTTTCTTCCGAGTTGAGTCAACTCAAAAACAGATGATTAATGTTCCCAGTATGAACAGTCAACCAGCCAACAGGCAGGACCATAATCCACAGTTCCTCTTCTGAGTTTGAAACCCTAGGTAAATTCCAACTTCCTTCTTTCCCAATTTCCTCCACTCCCTACTCTACTCACACCATTTTTCTCTTGGTGCAATCATTATGACCCTTCCAGAAAGTATAAAACCACTGATTTGCCTCTTGCCTTGCCTTTTAACTATGCTTTAGTATACCATCCAACCTCAATCATTTGCATCCCTTTTAATTGCGACGGAAACACTTTTTCCTTCTCCTAATGCCTGCCTCTCAATGCTTTTTTTTTTTACTAATTTTTTTTAACGTTTATTTATTTTTGAGACAGAGAGAGACAGAGCATGAATGGGGGAGGGTCAGAGAGAGAGAGGGAGACACAGAATATGAAACAGGCTCCAGGCTCTGAGCTGTCAGCACAGAGCCCGACACGGGGCTTGAACTCACGAACCCCGAGATCATGACCTGAGCCGAAGTCGGACGCTTAACCGACTGAGCCACCCAGGCGCCCCTCAATGCTTATTTTTTTTTTTTTTTAGAAATCATTAAACTAGAAGGATGCCTGTGTCTTCATTTAGTTGTGTGTGTGTGTGTTTAAGACATAAGTCTTGAGAGCTAGTCTACACCTCACTTCACCACCAGGCTTATATACCTCAACAAAATGTCACTCCAGTCTCCACACATGCTGGCAAAAAGCTATGCCTGTATTTCTGGGACCTACTTCACTCACTCATTCGCTCGCTCACTCACTCACTCAAGCTACCTCACTGCCCAGGATTCTACGTGGGCCTTTTTAAAAATCATGTGCTTCCCTATGTTAATGGTATTATTAATCACCTTGCATGTAGATGTAATCACAACTTAGTTCTGTTTTAATCCAATACCTTTCTTATTCTTGTAATGGAAGATTTTCACCCTGGCCGTCAAAATTAGCAGCTTTTCCTTCCCTTCAGAGTCTTGTTCCAGATTTGCAGTAAAGTACTGTTTAATTAGGAAGCCGTTCTAATGTCCCAGGGCATTTATCAGATTAAGAAAATTAGATTCACCTTTTTTTTTTTTTTTCCAAGGACAAAATAAATTGCTTCCTGAAAACCAGAGATAGTGAAGGAAATGTATCATCTCGTAGGAACTGCAGCACAGAGTATAAACCTTGGTCCTTCTGAATTGGTTGTTTCTGACGTGTGGTCCATAGACAGCTTGACTGGTCCATGAATCTACAAATCCAATAAGCTTTGCTTTTAGACTGAATCAATGTTATGTCTTCACAGATTGTGCACTGCTATTTTCAAATGCATGTAAACACTATTATGACAAAGTGTGCTGCTAGGTACAAGTGTAGCTAAATTCTGAGAAGCTTTTTTGTGTTTTTTGTTCAAGCGGCCACTAAAAAAAATACAATTACTATCATCAATTGGCGGGAGGGCTTAATAAGCATTTTGGTGTGAAAAGGGATTACCTTACTTGCAAAGGTTCAGAACCCATGGCCATGATATTGAGAGGAGAAAAATGTATAAAATATGGGGCAGCAAAAAGGCATACATGCATTATAAAAATGCAATATTACTATGAAATAAATCTTCCACTTAACCCTAGATAACTTTAATACCTTCTGTTTCGGCCATCAGCGTCTTCCTTCTATTATTTAACTTTTTTCGGTTTCCTGACCTTAGGTAAAGTAACCTAGTCTAGAAACACCCCATAATTGTCACACAGCATGCCATCTTGCTCTCACTTCAGAAGACAGACAGGAGGCCTGAAACAATCTTATATTTGGAGACCGAGTGCAGTAGCATTTGGCTTGAATACCTCAGGTGGCTAGATGTCTTTATGAATACTGACGTTATTGGAGGAAATGGCTGTTAGGCCGGCGAGGAACCAGGACTAGAGGGTGATCTAGACAGGGAGTGTGCAGGGCCAAGGGGGCCCGGGGCTGCACTCCAGCTCTGACGGGCTTGGGGTCTTGCTTTGATCTTTCTTTCATTAGGTGAGTACGATAATCCCCTCCAGTCAGAAAATCCAGGATTTACAGCACTTGGGAGAGTGGTTGGAAGTGGGTGGTGTAAACAGATGAGTACATCTTTGGCATTCAGGGTGATCTCGTCTGTTTTATTTGTTTCAGTAAGTACTAGTTACATCTGCCGAGTACACTGCTCTCTGCTCCAGAGAGGTCTAAAATGGGAATCACAGTGGGTGGGTGTTTGAGATCAGGAGGGAAGCATCCTGCACAAGGTGCCTGAGGGGAAGCTTACACAACACCTGTCTCCCTTATGTCCAATTCAAGTCTTGGCCACGAGGCTTAATAGCTTCACAACAGACATAAGGACGGCATCCAGAGAGCCCACAGACAAGGCAAGACCTTCACATAGGAGGGTGGAGACTCACTCCTTGCAACCTGACGAGGTAAGCATTTGCTTTCTCTGAAAATGCAAATGGAAACGGGAAATGCCATTGAGTCCCAGCATGGAGAGAATGGCTTACCAAGCTAAGAAAATAAACCAGAGCTACAGGCTTATGGGCAGTTCTGCTGAGGTCATGCAGCTACGGTTGGGACTCACGCCGGGCCTTTCAAAATGGCTGCTGCTGCCCCAACTGAGACACTCTGGAAGGAATGCCAGAGATGCGCTGGACGAATACCTCACCTCTACCTGCTTCAGCGAGCTGGGACCGGAATGAAGTCTGAGGAGCGATTCTTGTAGAATCGCAGGCATAGGAACTATTTGAAACCGTATGAGTCAGACTCTTGTTTTCTCAGGCGATGCAAAGTTAGTCTTCAGTACAAAGGACTTCCACTGATGCCAGTTACACTTTTGAAAGCTTTCCAGAAAAATCTGAATATTCAGTATACAGTTTCCAGGAGCCTATGTGAACATAAGTAAAATTTCTCACCTTTTGATTCACTACTAGTAAGGTAGAAAATCTCTGAATGTATTATGGGAGACAAACACTTTTTGACTACATGGGAACTCGGTAGTTTCTGCTGATACCAGTCTTAAATGGCATTGTGAATTTTATTCCTCACCTCGGATTCTAACATCATAAGCTGGTCAGAGAACCACTTGGCCTGCTGAAAATGACAATATCACAAAGTCTAAACATACAGTCCTCCTTTTAAAGTATTTAGGTTAGTCACATTCTATATGTTAAAGCTATGTGATACAGGATAAAAGATAGCACAAAGGAAACCAGTTTGCACTAAC